CTAGTAGTAAGGCCAGGAGCCCCTAGTAGCGTCCTTGTTCCTAGTAGGGATGCTCTTTGCTCCTAGTAGCTTCTTGTTCCTAGTAGGAAGAAGTCAAAAAAGTAGCCTGGCCGCAGCCTACAATAGCCGACACCTCATTGGTTTGGGTGTTTCGATCACGATGACTATCACGAACACTAGAGGAACAAATCGGGGAGCAGAAGTCCAGTATTTTATCTGGGGATTTGGACTTTGCTTTGGCTTTTACTGATGTGGGGCGTGACTGAACACAGCAGATGCTCTTCGTTGAGGTGGCTGGATGAACGACTCTTGTCATTTATGCAGATCAATCAGCAAGAACCACCACAGGTACTGCGTGTGCAGCATCATCGCCATCGCAATAGCCATCACTACCATCAGCTTCATCACCACCCCCTCTTACTTAAGTTATCAAAAGCTGCCTTCCTCGTCTGCCAGGCGAAGCCTCAAGTCGAGCTCCAGTGGCAGTGCATGGTGCCGCCTGCCGCTTCCCCTTGGAGGGGACAAGCCCACTCGAGATGTGGGAGCAATTGACCAAGAAGACTGACGCTTTGCTTGGAACACCTGTTTGTAATGTGCTCATGGGAGGGCAGGCTTTCACTGGCTTTCACCCTTGAATGGAAAGTGACGATATCCGTTGGTGTGAGATGAGAAGCCATTCACTTGCCGATTGTCACCTAGATTCTTGTTGTTGGTTCGTTTGATGGACCAAATCCTGCTGCACTTGCAAGCATACGAATCCTGTTTGTTTGCAGTGAATTCGCATGAATTCGCTCTTCTTGGGCCCCCAACAGATTGACCACTGCCAACCACCAAAATGGTTGCGGGGTCACCTCTGAGCCCACACTAGCATCACTAGCAGTTTCAGAGCACCCGCAAGACTCCAACAGCAATCTTCGCGACAGGATGGAGTCACCGAGATCCCCTTGGAGCGATGGGATGTCGACCAATACTTTGATGAGGATGCAGAGACTCCAGGGATGATGACGGCGCCTGACCAGCAGCATTGTTTGTTAAATGGTAGGACTGGTGGATGGTGTTTGAAGTTGATGTCGGTGTCAAAGATATACATAGTTGGACCAAGAGATGTCGAAACTTTGAATGCAGGATTGCAGTAAGTCGAAATCGGAGGCAACTTGTGTGCTGAATACTTTGGCTTTTGGCTTTGGCGCTCTGCGCCCCCCGAATTTTTGCCCTCAGCTTTTCAACCGCTCATGAAAAGGCTGGCCAGCCCATTCGCTGAAACACGAGGTGCGCCATGGTGCCTTTGTGAAGAGTGCAGACCTCTTCGACGCGTCCTTCTTTGGGCTGAGCCCCGCAGAATCCAAGGCATGTGACGAGCTGCCTTCGTGGTAAGTGGGAAGTCCAACTTTTTCTTGGCATCGGGACGTGGCAGATGTTTTTATAGGGGTGGCGTGGTGATTGTTACAAGGAACTGAGAGAATTAGCTCCAGCCGCTTCAAGATGATTGTGGTTGACGAAGGTTCACAGATGTTTTTGGACTCTTCCAGTCCAGAGTCCCCAAAGCTTCTTCACTTTGTCAAGCCCACACAGTGGTATTAACACCACAATCAGAACTTTTTCGGTGGGCATGGTTCTTGGTGATCTTCGGACCTCCTGTGACGTCTTTTTGCTGAACTCGTCAGGTCATGGATCCTCAACAGCGGCTGCTTCTGGAGGCCGCTTCCCGCTGAAGGTTGTAGGTCTGTTGCATGGCACGGAATTGTGACACTTTGGAGGCTCGTGATACACATCACAAATCCAGAAGAATTGGACCTCCTTTTCCGTACAACACCCGGACAGGGTGACGACGGTATTTCTGAATTCACAACTCTGCAATTAGGGAACAAGAATCTGTCAGGTGAATCAGACAGAACCAATGGGGTGATGTGGAGGGTCGTTCCTAATGTGGACAAAGAACATTTTGTGGATTCCTTGAATCTGATATGGGAAATTGACTTCTTCTCCCAGTGCCTTTGTGTAAAACGTTCCTCTTATGTCTTATGTAAAGCAATGCAGCAACTCTGCGGGTTTCCATGGCTCGGCTTGGAAAGAGCAACAACCTTATGTTTCATGGGAAAGGCTGAAGTGACTCGATCCCAGTCTCTGAACATCATCAACCCTTTTTCCCGCAGCTGCAGGTGATCTACCAGTCCTTCCATGTTTCAGGAAAGCCCATGGGCTCGTTGTCCAATCTGGATGCCAGCGTTTCTCGGACTGCTAAATTCTGCTTGCGTGCCCATGTTTGCACTCTAGTGTGATAGACTGATAGACTTTGTAGATCATCGTGCAGACACCCAGAAGAAGAGAACAACACCACGTGAACCTTTGCATAATTCCTCCAGTCCTCCAGTGTTCGTTTTTGACGGTTTGTGCGTTGTTCTTGTACGACCAGAGCTGTCCAGTGAACTCTTGCTGTTGAGTCCCTGTGCTTCCAAAAGCAGTCAGAAGCCAATGCAAAACA